AGGCCAGTCCCTTGAGTTAGAGCAGGAATGACTCTGTCCTCAAAGTGTAGTTCAATTGTATGTTCCAAAAATCGACCTGAGAGTCCAGTCGGTCAAATGAAGTTTCCTAATGCAAAGAGCATCATGGTGGGACGGGAAGGGAGCCCCAGTGAGTCAGGTCTTTTGTCTGAGGTGCTACTGTCAGTATGTAACCAGGACCTGGGGGCTGTCAGCTTTGCATGTACTGGATTGACCCGAAGGGGGTTAAGCTGGAAGCAGGGAGTGTGTGGGGCCTGGGTAGGTGTGTGGAGCGCTGGGTTCAGGTGGGTGGCCAGAGAATCTAGCAAAGGCTATGAGGGTCTCTCTTTAATACATTGCCTGATACTTGACCAGAGATCACACACGCTATGGAGCGATGGGCAACACGATGGAATATTGTCTGGGAATTATATACATAAAACCTGACTTTACTCCTGGCCTGGTGACCCTTCCACTGTGCCCAGGGGGATATTGTTTATGTATCTTCAGCCCCCTGTGGCCCATGGGATAAGGGGGGATAAGAGATGGCGTTGTGGGGACAAAGGCAATAGCCGCTTGTGAAGGATGGGGATGCCACGGTGAGGCCCCCAGATCGGTTATAATGAACTAATCACCTTCCGCTGCATTAATGCGATAAACGTCCCAGTTTGCTGAAAGGGCCAGAGCCTCCCTGGTGTAAATCAGGAGTAACTCGAGGCTAATGGAAGCAATTGTGGTGACTTTACACAAGTGGAGGATTTGGCCCCAGGAGCAATTCGCTCCATCCGTTGGTGTGATGCAAACCCCAACGCGCTTGTCCCCTTTATACTGACAGATGCTGTCCTGTGAGACTGACATAGAGACGGGCCCCGGGAGAGCCAACGTGCCAGGTCTGCGACGGGAGAGCGACTCAGAACAGGACTCACTCCGGATTGGGGTTCACAGATGAACCGAGGGATCTCTGCACTGCAGGCCCAGTGGGGCTCTGGGCAGGAAGGGGAGACACATTGCCCGGGAACAGAAGGGTTAAAACTGACAGGAGGTTTGTGTTACATTCACTCAGTTGCTGGGTCTCCTGTCCGAGCCCGGAGCGGTGTGTGTGTCACTGCTGCCCCCGCACGGCTGCCGGGAGAAGTGCGATTCCGCAGCCTGGGTTTTTGTATGATCACAAAACGGTTTTGTTTCACTGTGTCTCCCGCACAGTAATAGCGGGCGGTGTCCTCGGGCTTCAGGCCGGTCATTTGCAGATACAGCTCACTCTTGGAATCATCCCTGGAGATGGTGAACCGGCCTTTGACAGAATCAAGGTAGTCTGTACTACTCCCATCGTACCTTATATAAGCGACCCATTCTAGTCCCTTCCCGGGAGCCTGTCGGACCCAGTGCATATGGTAGCTGCTGAAGGTGAACCCAGAGGCTTTGCAGGAGAGGCGGAGAGAGTCTCCAGGCTTTTTCACATCCCCTCCAGACTCCACTAGCGCTTGAGACCGGACACCTGAGAATAAAGACAGGCCATTAATATCGGTATAAAAACAGCGATAACAATATTCTTCTAACTCTGCCAGTTATTCAGAGGAGGAAAATACCTTCCAAAGCAGCGAAAATTACAAGGAGCAAAAATCCCATTTTCCCTGGTGCTGGAGGGGAAAGTTCTCAGGGGACTGGCTGGTCACTGCACAGACCCAGGGGCTGAGGATTGTGTCTCTGGGTGCAGCCTGGGCAGAGAGAGGCACAGATTTAAACAGGAAACTGTCTCCCTCATTTGCATGCCCCCACTTTATAAGAGACACACACTCCTGCTGCCAGTGATCTGACTGACTCACCCTAGGGCTCCAGGTGCGGGAGTCAGACTGTCCCGTCCTGTGTGTCTGTGCAGCGCCGGGCACAGGGCGCTGGGTCCTCCTGACACTTTCGGACCCCTGGGAGGAATGACCAGCTCCCTGCAGTGACTGTATTTCCTCACCCAGGAACTGAGGGCCTGGCTATTGTGAGGTGATATTGGGGATTGAGGGACTCAGCTCTGAAGCCCCGTTCCACGCGCACAAGGGCCATGCAACGTCTGGTCAGGGGGGTCAGTGTCTGGGGAAAGGTCATGTCCCAGGGATCCATTGGGCTGGGCCACCCGCTGGAGAGGGAAGATTTCCCGTGGCGCTGGGAGGGATTTGGGATTGAAGCCCCTTTCCCTTCGCAGCAGTGACCGGCTACATTCAAATGATCCATGACACTAGGGACATGATCTAAGCAAGCCTCTCTCATGCTTGGGCCAGGTCTGGGGGCTGCCTGTGGGTGCAGGTGGGAGAAGCTGAGGCGGGGGGGGGGGGAGTCTGAGGGCAGAGTTAAGGTTTTGCAGTGGAGCCTCCCTGACATGAGTGGGCCGAGAGCGGCGTGTCTGGGAGTTTTCCTTAAGGGGAGAGTCGAGGGAGGATTCAGGCCACAGTGAAGGAAGATTATTCTGCACAGCTGATATTTATATTCGTGTTTATATTCCTGTTCCCAGTCACACTCCACTTCCCATTTACACTCGGGTTGTAAACTCGGTGCGACTGAGAGAGGGTTTATGGTCTGTGTTTGTATCATGCCTAGGACTATGGGAGCCTACACTATACTTAAGAACATAAGAATGGCCAGACTGGGTCAGACCCAAGGTCCATCTAGCCCATTGTCCTGTCTCCTGACAGTGGCCAGTGCCAGGTGCCCCAGAGGGAATGAACAGAACAGGGAATCACCGAGTGATCCACCCTCTGTTGCCCATTCCCAGCTTCTGGAGACCCTAGTCGCTAGGCCCACAACCGGCACCAAATCTATCACCGCTGAGCATCATCACCAAGATCATTTACTTAGTTAATTATTAATAAGCAATAAAGTGTAGACAGAAGCTTTCTCCTGGTTGTGTTTAAAGAACTTGTGTGATTTGAACGTTACATGTTTTTAAACCATCCCCAGCATGTAATATTGAGGGATAACAACAAAAACAACAACGACAATATTTCCATTCCCACTGACTTTCAGACAAGTATCAACATTCACCCTGAAACACAGATCTCCACTCCCATTACACTCATGTTCCCTTTCATCCCTGCAGCACAGCCAGGGCCTGGGCAGGGGCCTGTGATGTGTGAGGAACAGACTGAACTTCCCTGACATCCCAGAGACGCTGGTTGTGACGTCCCCGTGCCACAGAGCGGGGTGACGGGTTTTCCTTTCATCTTTCCCATTTTTTCCTTACTTTAAAAATTGATGGCTGATTAATAAATTATATTTGCTTTGAACTGTATGAAATGATCAGTGGGTCAGAGGAGCTTCCACAGCAGAGAGAGCCCCCCGGAGTGGGGACACCCTCGCCCCTGCCCTGAGTGACAACAACAATGTCGGGGGTCGAGCCTCCCAGGAATCCTGGGCCCAGCCTAGTTGGGGTTATGAGGACTCTGCCACACAGGAGAGTGGAAGGGGAGCCCTCGAGGTCAGGCAGCCTCTGGGTAAAGTAAGTGGGAGCGTGGACTGAGATCCTTTTGCTAGCCCACTTCACCGGGGTCATGTATAAGCCAGGAAAGTTCCCCACAATAGCAGGACCATTCCCCCGCTTACATCTGTAATAGAATATTTGGGACCGAGTGAATCCCCAGCACGCCCAGTGCAGGACACCCCATTCCCGGTATCACCGCCTCCGGTGGATCTAGATCTGACTGAACAGCCGGGTTCATTTCCCCCATTTCAAATGGAGGAAATTACTGTCTCCTGTGAGCTCCCAGCGCGCGGCCTGTCAGCATCAAACCAGCTGGGACTTCCTCTGGTAACCGCCACGGGCGTTTTTTGTCTGAGCTCAGCCCGGCTTCCAGTCACTGTGAGTCCTGCACAGTGATACCGGGCGGTGTCCTCGGGCTTCAGGCCGGTCATTTGCAGATACAGCAGGTTGTTGAGATTGTCCCTGGAGATGGTGAATCGGCCTCTGACTGCATCAGCGTAGTGTGTGCTGCTCCCACTGCCGCTGCTGGTACGGGAGACAGGGCCGGCTCTAGCACCAGCCCTCCAAGCATGTGCTTGGGGCGGCACTTTCTAAGAGGCGGCACTCCGCCCCCCTTTTTTATTTTTATTTTTC